GAGTGTAAGAAATAAGATAGATGAGCTAAGATTAATTGCAAGTGCAATTGGCTCAATCTGAAAGATAGAGAGATGCCTTCTGAATGTCACATACAAGGCAATAAATTATTCCACAATGACAGGGTCAACAGGAAGGGTGGTGGAGTAGCGATGTATGTCAGAGACAATTTAAATTGTGTTAGACAAGATATAAAATTAGAATCATCAGCCACTGAATCTGTTTGGTTACAGCTTCTCGAGGGCCGTGAAAAACTAATTTTGGGTGTGATTTACAGGCCCCCAAACCTTGATAGGGAGTGCAGTAAACTTCTAAGGGACGAAATTCGTAAGGCATATACATACGAAAATGTTGTGCTAATGGGAGATTTCAACTATAGATAGATTGACTGGAGCAATTTGACAGGAAATTTAGAGTCAAGTGACTTTCTTGATACGATTCAGGATTGTTTTTTAAAACAGTTTGTGACAGAACCAACTAGAGGAAATAACCTGCTTGACTTGGTTCTTGCTAGCAGGGAAACACTAATTAATAATCTTGAGGTTAATGATGAGCTTGGAGAAAGTGATCACAAATCACTCAGTTTTAATATATCATCGAATTTCCCTAATAATGGCAATCAAGTCTCTGTCCCTGACTTCCGCTTGGCTGATTTCATAGGACTGAAAAATTACTTGGGTGGACTGAACTGGAATGACCTGACTAAGGGTCAGGTAGGTGGTGATGACTGCCCATGTGACGTTTTCCAGGGCATAGTTCTAGCTGCTCAGACAACTTATGTTCCAAATAGGGAAATCAGATCAAACAAAAATGATCCTAAATGGATGAACAATAGATTAAAACATTTAATTGGTCAAAAGAGAGGCATATATAGGCAAATAAAGAGAGGAAAGAGGCAATTAAGAAATCAATATATTCAGTTAAAGAGAGAAATAAAAAAAGGGAATAAGAAAAACAAAAAGACTAACCCAAAAGGATTCTTTCAGATGTACAGAAGTAAGATCAGGGACAAGATAGGTCCACTCAAAAGTTACTCGGGTCAGCTCACGGACAGTGACAAGGAAATGTGTAGAATTTTTAACACATACTTCCTCTCAGTTTTTACACAGAAAAATACTAGCGATATTCCAGAAATAATAAATTTTGTAGTACAGAACGATAATAAACTATGCACGATTAGGGTTACAAGTGACATGGTCCTTAGGCAAATAGATAAATTAATACCTAACAAATCTCCAGGCCCTGATGAACTGTATGCAAGGGTTCTAAAGGAATGTAAAGAGGAGCTTAGTAAACCTTTGGCTAATCTTTTCAACATATCACTACAAACTGGCTTGGTGCCAGATAAGTGGAAAATGGCAAATGTGATACCTTATTTCAAAGCAGGTGACAGGTCCTTAGCTTCGAACTATAGACCAATAAGCCTAACCTCCATAGTGGGAAAATTTATGGAATCAATAATTGCTGAGGCAGTTCATAGCCACCTTGAAAAGCATAAATTAATCAACGAATCTCAGCATAGTTTTACAAAGGGGCGTTCTTGGCTTACGATTTATTAACTTTTTTCACTAAGGTGTTTGAGGAGGTAGATCATGGTAATGAATATGATATTGTGTATATGGACTTCAGTAAGGCTTTTGACAGGGTCACACATCAGAGACTATTGAGGAAAATTAAGGCACATGGAATAGGAGAATTTTTTTCCTGGATAGAGGCATGATTGACAAATAGGCAGCAGAGAGTTTGCATAAATGGGGAGAAATCAGAGTGGGGAAGTGTCACGAGTGGTGTTCCACAGGGGTCAGTGTTGGGCCCCTTGTTCACAATCTACATAAATGACATTGATGAGGGCATAAATAGCGACATAAGCAAGTTTGCTGATGACACCAAAATAGGCCGTCCAATTCATTCTAATGAGGACATTAGATCACTCCAGGAAGATTTGAATAGACTGACGCAATGGTCGGAGAAGTGGCAGATGCAGTTTAATATAGACAAATGCAAAGTTTTAAATGTTGGACAGCTAAATAACCATGCCACATATAAACTAAATAATGAAGATCTTAATATTACGGATTGCGAAAAAGATTTAGGAGTTCTGGTTAGCAGTAATCTGAAACCAAGACAACAGTGCATTAGTGTTCGCAATAAAGCTAATAGAATTCTTGGCTTCATATCAAGAAGTATAAATAATAGAAGTCCTCAGGTTGTTCTTCAACTCTATATATCCTTGGTTAGGCCTCATTTAGATTATGCTGCACAGTTTTGGTCACCGTATCACAGAATGGATATAAATGCTCTGGAAAACGTACAAAGGAGGATGACTAAGTTGATCCCATGTATCAGAAACCTTCCCTATGAGGATAGACTGAGGGCCCTGAACCTACACTCTCTAGAAAGGCGTAGAATTAGGGAGAATATGATTGAGGTGTATAAATGGAAGACAGGAATAAATAAAGGGGATGTAAACAGCGTGCTGAAAATATCTAGCCTAGACAGGACTCGCAGCAATGGTTTTAAGTTGGAAAAATTCAGATTCAGGAAGGATATAGGAAAGCACTGGTTTGATAATAGAGTTGTGGATGAGTGGAACAAACTCCCGAGTACAGTTATAGAGGCTAAAATGTTGTGTAGTTCTAAAAATAGGTTAGATAAATACATGAGTGGGTGTGGGTGGGTGTGAGTTGGACCTGATTAGCTTGTGCTACTAGGTCAATTGCCGTGTTCCTTCCTTAAGTGAATGTAACCTAACCTGACTAGGTTCGGGCATTGGCTTAAGCCGGTAGGAGACTTGAACCTGCCTCGCATGGGCCAGTAGGCCTGCTGTAGGGTTCCTTCTTTCTTATGTTCTGATAGGGCAATAAGGCAAGCGAATATGGCAAACGAAAATTTGTGTATGGAATAATTACGTAAAAATTAAACTAAATTAAGCTAAATTAAACGTGTAAGAGAAAATTTTAGAAAGAAATTAGTTTTAAATGAGTTCTTGTTAATTGACCAGTTTTACCTATTCGGCACGATATATATATATTATATATATATATATATATATATATATATATATTATGTGTGTGTGTGTGTGTGTTGTTGTTGTTGATGTGTGTGTGTGTGTGTGTGTGTGTGTGTGTGTGTGTGTGTGTGTGTGTGTGTGTCGTGCCGAATAGGCAGAACTTGCGATCTTGGTTTAAATAGCAACGCTCATCTTGCCATATAGGACAAGCTAAAATTTGTGTATGCAATAATTTCACCAAAATCATTCTGAACCTAACGAAAAAAATATATTTCACTGTGTTTGTTTAGTATTAAATTACTGTAAACAAATCTAAAATATATATAGTTGGGTTAGGCTAAAATAAATTGTTCTTGTTATAATAAGGTTAGGTAAGTTTTCTAAGATTCTTTTGGTGCAAAATAAAAATTTTTACATTAACATTAATGAAAAAAATATATCTTTAAACGTATAAGAGAAAATTTCGGAAAGGACTTAATTTTAAATGAGTTCTTGCTAATTGACCAGTTTTACATATTCGGCACGACATATATATATATATATATATATAATATATATATATATTATATATATATATATATATATATATATATATATATATATATATATATATATATAATATATACTCAATTGTGGTTGCAGGAATCGAGTCATAGCTCCTGGCCTTGCCTCTTCACTGGTGGCTACTAGGCCCACTCTCTCCTTGCTCCATGAGCTTCATTATACCTCTTCTTAATGCTATATATGTATCCTGCCTCCACTACTTCTCTCTCCAGACATTTCCACTTACTAACAACTCTATGACTGAAGAAATACTTCCTAACATCCCTGTGATTCATTTGAGTCTTCAACTTCCAATTGTGACCCCTTGTTGCCGTGTCCCATCCCTGAAACATCCTGTCTCTGTCCACCTTGTCAATTTTTCTCAGTATTTTATATGCCGTTATTATGTCCCCCTATCCCTCCTGTCCTCCAGTGCTGCCAGGTCGATTTCCCTCGTAGGATATGCCTCTTAGCTCCGGGACTAGTCTTGTTGCAAACCTTTGCACTTTCTCTAATTTCTTGACGTTCATGACCTGGTGTGGGTTCCAAACCGGCGTTGCATACTCCAGTATGAACCTGACGTTTATAGTGTACAGAATCTTGAACGATTCCTTACTGAGGTGTCGGAATGCCATTCTTAGGCATGCCAGGTGCCCATATGTTGCAGTAATTACTTGGTTGATGTGCATCTCAGAAGATATAATAGGCATACTCACCCCAAGGTTCTTTTCCTTGAGTGAGGTTTGCAGTCTTTGTCCCCCTAACCAGTACTCTGAGGCTTTCTTTGCCCTTCTCCATTCTTCATGACTGTGCACTTAGTGGGGTTGAATTCCAGGAGCCAGTTGCTGGACCAGGCTGCCAGCCTGTCCAGATCCTTTTGTAGTTCTGCCTGATCCTCATCCGATTGAATTCTCCTCATTAGCTTCAAATCGTCTGCAAACAGGGACACTTCTGAGTCTATCCTTTCTGTAGTGCTATTCACATATACCAGAAACAGCACCGGTCCTAGGACTGACACCTGTGGAACACCACTGTCACAGGCGCCCACTCTGACACCTCGTCACGTGCCATGACTCGTTGCCTTCCTGTGAGGTATTTTCTGATCCATTGCATTGCCTTTAGCTGTTGTACCTGCCTGATCGTGTGTGTGTGTGTGTGTGTGTGTGTGTGTGTGTGTGTGTGTGTGTGTGTGTGTGTGTGTGTGTGTGTGTGTGTGTGTACTTAAGTGTGTGTGTGTTTTTGTGTGTGTGTGTCAGTTGTGCGTGTGTGTTGTGTGTACTTAAATTTCTATGATTAGTTTTAAGGATATAATTACATTCGTTCACATTCGCTTGTCATTTTACATTGCCAAGTTAATCGCTGTATATTCCATGTAAAGATTCATTCAATCGCTATGTGATTCTTACGGTTTAGCGATTCCCAGCGAATATAATAATTATAATAACATACCTTGAAGTTGCCAATTCTGTCAGCAAGTATTCCAGTGACGGGAGGGCCGAGGAGGGCAATTACTGGGGAGAGAGCCAGTACAATTGATAGTTCGCTCTCTTCGATACCTAGAGATCTTGCCAGGATAGTCAGGAACGGGAAGAGGCTCGTCATGGCTGTAGTGAGATGGATTAAATGTAATTTGTCATTTTATTTAGAATATAATTTATTGGCTGCATGTGGGTCAATTATGATTTTCTTTCAGATGAAAACTTCGACTGAAGAATATTTTCATCCCAAGAATTAGAATTTAAGTAAGCTCAGCGTATATACATATATACACAAAAAGATACATACCTCTTAGTGCAAAAAGGTCAAAGTAAACAGATTGTATCACAATATGCAAAACAACCACCTAATAATGTGTGAAATCATGACAGCTCTTGGAAGTTCGCTATTTTTTCACAGCGTATGTTCTGCATACCTCTTAGTGCACTTTCACTGGTGAAATACTCACCTACTAATATTCAGAGTAATGTGTATGATCTCGATAGAAAGTTGGAATAATATCATTATCATATCTAATGGTCTGTTATCATATCTGACGGTCTGATGAAAGTATGATGTCACGAGAATTATATTAAACTTTGAAATACCAGCATTTAACTTATGATTTTTTTTACGAACAGGTAACAATAGGTAGACTAGATAAAGGAGGGACCAGAACGAAAGGACATAGACCGTTTCAAAGGTGAACGAGAATGAGGGGACACAGACTGTGTGAAAGGTGGCCAGAAGAATGGGACACAGACTGTATGAAAGGTGGCTAGAACGAGGGGACAGACTGTATGAAAGTTGATCAGAACGAGGGTACGTAGACTGTATGAAAGGTGGCCAGAAAGAGGGGACGCAGACTGTATGAAAGGTGGCTAGAATGAGGGAACACTGGAAAAACTAAATGAAGGTAGAAACCAGAACCAAAGTACACAACAGGGGCTTGATAAGCAAGAATAGAAAATGGGTGCGGTGAGAAAAAGTATAACATTCTTATTAATTTGTCTCCCATTATACAAGATGCCAGTAGCCCCAGACGTTTTTTTCTACTCACATATTCTTGAAAACAATGGGCCAAGGGATTAAGGATTAGAAAAGAAGTAATGAACAGTCAGATTAATGTTCTCATGGGTCTGGTAGTAGTAGTAGTAATAGTAGCAGTAGTTGTAGTAGTAGTAATAGTAGTAATAGTAGTAGTAATAGTAGTAATAGTAGTAGTAGCAGTAATAGTAGTAATAGTAGTATTAGTATTAGTAGTAGTAGTAGTAGTAGTAGTAGTAGTAGTAGTAGTAGTAGTAGTAGTAGTAATGTTGGTGGTAATAGTAAGTAGACAGGACAGGTTAGATCATTATAAGTCAGATCTTGTAAATCTGGGTTAGGCTTTGCCTCAGGGTAAATTATGAGATAATTCAACTTATGCCAAATGTAACAAGCCCTAGGAGTGGTCAACAAAATTTGAATGGCATGCTCTGATAGGAGGGGAGCTAATGAGAAAAAGAGAGGGCTTCTATATATTTAAGGAGAGGGATAGCGAGAAAACACAGAGTTAGGGAGCGAAGACAGCGAAAGCAAAGAAGACAGACGGCACAGTGCAAAGACATCGCAAAACATTCCCATGACTGAGCTTCGGGAGAATTTTAAACACCAATAATTGGTGGAGAGTTGGCTGTGCTTCTCTGTGCTTTTTAACTCATTTAGCTCTTATGGGATTTCAGGTTCCCAGCTTTTTTCTATAACCATAGCAATGTGCTGGTAACAGTTGGAGGCCATAGAAAACTGGAGGGACCTTCACTACCTTCTAAAAACCTACTTGATTTTGAATATGGTAACTCTGGCAGCTCTCTGCCTCACACAACGTATCAACAAATGAGAACAAACCAATATGTCTTTAATAATTAAACGCCTACCAATATGACTTTCCTGGTCTTTATGTGGAGTGAATCTAGGTCTGGCGTTCTTATTAATGTGTTTATTATTCATACAGGAGAAGCATGATCCAGAAGAGGCTCGAGATGTAATATCAACGTCTGAGATATGTGGAGTGTCTCCTATATTTATTGACGTTAAATATAACTATTAATTAATATTTCCAGTATTTCCTTTGGTAAAACTATTTCATGGGTTTAAAAATAAAACTAAGATATGCTTTTCTTTTTTTTGTGTGCAAATATTTACCTAAATAAAATGACGTCCAGCATCGCAATCAATTTCTTTACGTTGCTGATGGTAACAGACTCCAGGAAGTATACCAAGAGTGAGACTGGAACACGCTAAGTATTGCGTCTATCCAACGAGTAAATTAACAGTGGAATAAACCAGTATTATGAGAACTGTTTACAGACGGTAATGTGAGATAAAGATTGCAGTGTAAATTTTTTTATTGTGGGATCTCACCTAGAGAATTGTGAAATAAAATGGTTGTGAAAAATGGTACCAAAAACGGTGGGATTATTCATCAAGGGACGAAGTTCGCAAACTTTCCATCGTTTACCTACAATTAACACTAAGTTAAGGAACTTGAGTGATAGAAGAGCCTTGTAAATTTTCCTTGTAAGTTTTCAGTAAGTAGCTGAATACAGAAAATTAATTTACGAATTGTTTGGTCTTGCAAAAATTAACCTTGTATAACAAGCACCTCATTAGGTATCCCATGAAAGTGAACAAATTTTTCTTGCCAGAACCATGATAACAGTGGACAGAGAGACCTCTTGCCATGGTTAGAAAATGTGTATGAATGGGAGGAATTTAAATAATGCATTAGGAATTTATTCAATGAAAAAAAAATATCTCCCACGACTATACATTAATGTACTAATAACCTCAAAATGGAACTAGTAAAATCTGCGGAAGCTTTCAACAGACAGATCTGGATTCACATGGAGGAAGTCAAGGCTACGGTGTTATAACCCAGAAACACCTGGTTGGACATGGGAAAGAAGCTCTTTGTGGAGTGCACAGTCAACTAAGTCAGTACCTACAAAATATAATGAGGAATTATAATTACGATGATCTGTTAGACTAGGCAAAGACATTAACTTAAGATTTTGGGGGATAAAATCGATTTATAAACAGCGACAAGGCTAAAGGGCCTTCACATTATAACCTGAATATGACTTTGTAAATGGTCCAAATCGGACCGAAACGTCGTCGTAAGCTCCTCCCATGTGCGGGTTATTTGTGTATTGTTCCAGTCACGGTATTGTGCCTTTTTGTTCTTTCTGAACTATGTACTCGAAGAAGCACATCACATCACCGTACTCTTACACCATACTCAACACTTATAGAGCTGAAGACTGATTACTTCATCTTTCACTGTCTCTTGTGTATAATTCTGCAAGAATAAGGGACTGATTACCTCTAACTGCAGAAAATGGAAGCACTATTTCAACAGATCATTTACTTGTTCAGACCCATCAATGATGACGGATAAAGCTAAGCGAGTAATAAGAGAGGAATGTCAGAGTTTGCTTAAAGTAAGGTGACTGAGTTACCTCGTCGCCTTAGTTACTTCTAAAACAGAAACCGAACAAATTTATCAGTTCTGTGTAAAGTACAAGAAAGTGAATTAAATTACTATTGCCAGCAGTTACGTTTTACCTTTAATACAACAACAACAACAATAATAATAATAATAATAATAATAATAATAATAATAATAATAATAAATAATAATAATAATAAATATGACTATGGAAGAGAGTACGAACAGGGACCTGTGGGCGCCCAGCCTTAGAGAACCGTGTAAGGGAATAAACAAGGAAAATGGAACTGGGCGCAATAGTAAGAACGGGAGAAGGCGAAGAGGTAGGAACGTCAGATGTAATGACTTCATAAGAGTTGGAGACAGGGGTGACAGTGGGAAAGAATACATCAGGGACCTGTTCACAGCATCGTGGTCACAATAATGTAAAATACTGCTCGTTGAACTAGTACACCAAATAGGGACTAGAATGAAATTAGCCTAGAGTCATCCACACTATCGTGTGTCCTTGGGTAGCGAGTACAACATCCAGTTCCGCTGGATGCCCTACTCTTTTATGAATAAAGGATCGTATGGTTCAGTGGATAAGGGTGTCATGTGTTTTCGCTCACCATGAGGCAGGCCAAAGCAGCATGGGTTCGAGTCCTTGGCTAGTGCAGTGTTATTATTGATCAATATCACTCGTTCGTGGTCACAATAATATATATATATATATATATATATATATATATATATATATATATATATATATATATATATATATATATATATATATATATATATATATGCATGTAAGGGAATGTAAGCTCAAATCACCCAGAATAAAATGCTGTCTTGGACATGGGTCCAAGACAGCATGTATGCCAGAATGACTTACAACAACTGGATATTCTGAATGTTGAAGACAGAGTAAAGCAACTGAAGTTACATTTATAAAATTGCGCACAAACAGTGCCCAGAATATCTTGCTGCCAAGTTTGACAAGGTTGGGAACCAAAACCAGGACGGTACTGTAGGAAATGGGCACAATTTTGTGTTATCTACAGTAGATGGTCAGTCTTTAAACGCCGTTTATTGTAGAATACAGGAGTTGACTGCTAGCGCACTCACCTCATACACTGAAGTCCATGGTTCGATACCCGGTACGAGTGGAAACGTTAGGAGGTGTTTTCTTATGACAACTGTTGTTTCTTTTAACCTAGCACTAAAATAAGTACCTGGGTGTTAGTCGACTGGTGTGGGTCGCATCCTGGGTACAAAATTGACCTAATTTGCCCTAAATACTTTGTATAACAAGAGGCTTTCTAGATATAGCATAAATAATAAAAAGGCAAAATACCGTGACTGGAACGATACACAAATAACCCGCACATAGAAGAGAGGAGCTTACGACGACTTTTCGGTCCAAGTCGGACCGATACGTCGTCGTAAGCTCCTCTCTTCTATGTGCAGGTTGTGTATGGCTTTCTATATAACAGTATGTCATTGATGTCAGCTAGATCTGTATACCTTGTACATGTACTTGTAGAGATAAAGATATTATTATTATTATTATTATTATTATTATTATTATTATTATTATTATTATTATTTCCTGCAGATGTGGAAGTCTGTCCTAGCATGAGCCGGTTCAGGAAATGA